GGTCGTTCGACCGCCAAAGGGGTTGCGACCCACAGGTTGAGAACCGCTGATTTAGGCCAACCCTTAGATCCCACAAGCACTGCAAGTGGTTCCACTTAAATTCATGACCATGAATATCAAGCCGGCTCTGATGTTCTCTGGCAATCTGATACCACATCTCGAATATGTTTGTTCTCTGAGGATTTCATGGTTTCTTTCAAATGTTCAACACCCTCAGCCCACTTCTCATCCTAAGCTGATGACCTTTTGTAGCAGACCTCTGCTGGGTTTTGGTTCTCCAGGATCTGAAGCTATTTGTAATCTCCCATTGTGTAGTTTTTGATGAAAGGCAAAGAAAATAAAAGGGTCGGAGGGGTTACCCTCTATCTGCCCTCAGGACTTAGATGTTGACCAATCTGGGACTCCCAACAAAGACTCTGACTTCTAGAAATTCCAAAGCCTACGGCTCGTTAGAGATTATTCCTAGTGGTGGTCATGGCAGAGTGGTCCTGTGCTAGTAGCCCCATAGGAGGGGTTTTCACCAGACTGTTCCAGTCTGCGTGAGTCCCGTGGCATATGGAAATGACTCTCCAAATTTTTTATAGTGTTTACCGCACCACCGAGCTCCAAACTTGTATATTCAGCTGCTTGCCTGATAGTTCCACTTACACATGTCATAGGCATCTCAGATATTACTTCACCAAAACAAAAACTTTTCATCTTTTTTACAAAACTTTTTACTTCCTGGCAGAGCCAAGGTTGGGAGAAGAATGGAGCATCTGAGCAGCACCTCCGGCCTCCTCTCTTCTCCCCGCACCTCACTCTCACGACCTACCTGCCTGCCGCCTACTTGTCCCCCAAACACCTTCCACCTCGGGGAGTTCCCGCTTGAACAAAGGCATCAAGGAGGTGTACATGTGCCTGCCTACGGGTGATATGTATGTCCGGACTGATGATACTGGAGAAGGCCTGCGATGCAAGACCCTGACCTTGGACAGTGAGCCCAAGGGTACAGAAGAGTTGCCCAGGTAGAATTTTTTAAAAAGTATATTTTACTAATTTTTTACAGAGAGGAAGAGAGAGGGATAGAGAGTTAGAAACATCGATCAGCTGCCTCCTGTACACCCCCTACTGGGGATGTGCCTGCAACCAAGGTACATGCCCTTGACTGGAATCGAACCTGGGACCCTTCAGTCTGCAGGCCGACGCTCTATCCACTGAGCCGAACTGGTCAGGGCGCCCGAGTAGAATTTTGATGGCTCTAGTACTTTACAGTCTGAAGACTCCAACAGTGATATGTATCTTGTCCCTGCTGGATGTTTCAGGACGCTTTCCACAAGGATCCCAACAAGCTGGTGTTCTGTGAAGTCTTCAAGTACAAATGAAAGCCTGCAGAGACCAATTTAAGGCATACCTGTAAAGGGATAATTGACATAGTGAGTAATCAGCACTCCTGGTTTGGAATGAAGCAGGAATATACTCCTTTGGTTGACTTTCCAATGGCTTCCTTGGGCCCCAGGGACCATACTACTGTGGGGTGGGAGCAGACAGAGCCTATGGCAGGGATATTGTGGAGATTCACTACCCAGCCTGCTCATAAGCTGGCATCAAGACCAAGGGGCCAAACGTTGAGGTCATGCCCACTCAGTGGAAATCCCAGATAGGACTCTGATGGAATCTTGCACTAAGAGTGTGAAGATTTGGAGTGATAGCAACCTTTGATCCTAAGCCCATTCCTGGGAGCTGGAATGGTGTGGACAGCTACACCAACTTCAGCACCAAGGTCATTCGAGAGGAAAACGGTCTGAAGTACATTGAGGAGTCCTTCCAGAGGCTGAGCAAGCAACACCAGGACCTCATCGGAGCCTATGATCCCAAGGGGGGGTGAGACAATGCCTGGAACCTAAGAGGATTCAAGAAAACCTCCAACATCAACTGATTTTTTGCTGGTGTGGCCCACTGTGGCACTAGCATCCGTATTCTCGGGCTGTGGGCCAGGAGGAGAAGGGTTACTTTGAAGACAGGCACCCCTTTTCGGGGTTGACAGAAGCCCTCATCTGCATGGGTCTTCTCAACGAAACTGGTGATGAGCCCTTCCAGTACAAAGACTAAATGGACTAGACTTGCAGCCATCGAACCCTTCCTAATTAATTCTTCATCCCACTCCCACTCTTGCCTCCCTCTCAATTGTTATAATAGTTGTAACTCAAAGGGTGGAATATCAAGGCCTTTTTTTTTTAAGGCCTTTTTTTATTCTTCGTGAAAACAAAAGCAAAAGCTTTTAACTTCCTAAGTCTTCCTTATCTTAGCAAATGGCACCACCATCCATCCAGTTGCTCAAATAAAAAACCTATGAGACAGCCCTGATTTCTCTTTTCCTCTTAATGCTCTTATCCAATTGAATGACAGTCCTGTTGACTTTACAGTGTCTTCACTTAAGGTTGTCTGTAGGTTCTGCAACTTTAAGCAAAATGACCTGTAATGAAAACAATTTTACCATAGGCTAATTTATATAAACCAGAGTTTAGTTCCCAGGGCATGTCATCAACATAATGAAATGATGTTGAACAAAATAAAGTTAATTGAGGACCTGCTGTATACCCTAATCTGATTCCAAGTGTACTAGCACCTGGACTTATGCAATAACTTCTGTGGTAGCCTCCCCCCGCCCGATACCCAGAACTTGTGAATATGTTACCCTAACATGTTTAAAGGATTTTGCAGAAGTAATTAAATTAAGGATCTTGAGATAGGGTGGTTATTCTGGATCGTCCAGGTGTGCCCAATGGAACCATAAGGTCCTCATAAGAGGGAGACAGGAGGATCAGAGTCAGTAGGAGGAGATGTGATAATCAAACCAAGAGGTTGAAATGATGTAAGGAAGAGGCCATGAGTCAAGGAATGCAGGTGACTTCTAGAAAGGTAAGAAAACAGATTTCCCCTGAAGCTTCCAGATGGAATGCAGCCCTACAGACACATTGATGTGAGAAGCCTGACCTCCAGATCTGGAAAAGAATAAATTCACCCTGGCCAGCATTGCTCAATGGTTGGAGCATCGGCCCAACCACCAAAGGGTCGAGGGCTCGATTCCCAGTTGAAGACACGTACCTGGGTTGCGAGAGGCAACCAGTTGATGTGTCTCTCTCACATAGATGTTTCTCTCTCTTCCTCTCTTCCTCTCTCCCTCTCTCCCTCTTCCTATTTCACTCCCTCTCCTCTTCCCTCCCTCCCTTCCATTCTCTCCAGGAGCAATGGAGAAAATAGCCTCTGGTGAGGATTAACAAAAAAAAAGAAAAAAAAAGGAATTCATGTTGTTTTAAGCATCTAAGTTTGTGGTAAAGGAAGCTAATACAGTCCTCTAGTGCAGTGGTTCTCAACCTTGGCTGCACATTAGAATCATCTGTGAACCTTTTTAAAATCCTGATTTCTGGGCCTCATCCTCCGGAAATTCTGTTTGTTATGGGGTGGGACCACAACATTAGTAACAAAGAAACAGAATTTCCGGAGGATGAGGCCCAGAAATCAGGATTTTTAAAAAGATTCACAGGTGATTCTAATGTGCAGCCAAGGTTGAGAACCACTGCTCTAGTAGGACTCCCTGTTTCCTGCCTTATCTCTCTGCTAACATTCTCCACACCACAGAAAGGGAGATCTTTTAAAAATGTAAGTTAGATGGTCACTATCCTGTTTAAAGCTTAACAAGAAACTTCTCTTTGTATCTGGAACAAAATCCAAACTTACCATGGCCATAGGCCCTACATGACTACCTCTCCAAGCTCTCCACACTCCTTCACTCTCCTTCCGAATGCCCTCTCCATTCCCACTCCACCCCAGCCTTGTGGAAACAGGGCGACCTGCTTCCCTGTGGGGACTTTGTCCTACCCACTGCCCGTTGTCTGAGACGTTCTGTCCCCATTCCGCTCGGTTCCCGGGGATTCCCCTGACCCAACCTAAGGAGTGCCCTCTGATTCTCGGCTGTATCACCCTCTTGACTTGTGTCCGCAGCGCTTACCATTATCTGAAGCTGCACCTCTTACTTGTTCTATTGTGTGTTTCTTCACTACTCTTTTAATCCAAGCTCCAGGAAGCGGGGAATGTAGCTTGCCTTGTTCTGTTGTATCCCCAACTCCTGCAGCAGTGCCGAGTACAGGCCTGGGAGGCTCAGCGAAAACCCACCGCACGTGGAGTGCTGACTTCAAGCCAAGGGCTTCAAGCCTAGGGCTCAGGTTGGCTCCTGGCATCGCAGGGCCTCCGACGCGGGTCTCTTGATCGAACCCAGAGGTAAAACCAAGGCCGGGTTCCAGTCCTTCTTGCTAAAGGTCCTTTAGGGCCACCCGGCCTGGTCGGAGAAGAGGGGGTGTTCAGAGACCTGCCATGGCAATTTAGAATAATAATGATAATGAAAATAACAGTAACAGCCAACATTATCCAGAACTTTCTCTGTGCCAGGCACTGTTCTAGGTGTTTAATAGAAATTCACTTATTCTTCACAACCAGTGAAGTGGACACTATTATCCTGATGGCAGCGGTTCTCAACCTGTGGGCCGCGGAACGACCCTTTCACAGGGGTCGCCTAAGACCATCGGAAAACACATATATAATTACATATTGTTTTTGTGATTAATCACTATGCTTTAATTATGTTCAGTTTGTAACAATGAAAATACATCCTGCATATCAGATATTTACATTCCGATTCATAACAGTAGCAAAACTACAGTTATGAAGTAGCAACGAAAATAATTTTATGGTTGGGTGTCACCACAACATGAGGAACTGTATTAAGGGCCGCGGCATTAGGGAGGTTGAGAACCACTGCCTTATGGTAAGGATGGGGAAACCGAGGCACTGCCCTGTTAGGTAGAAACCGTAGGTCCTCCCTCGGCTCTAACCGGGAGAGCGGACTTCTCGCCAGTGAAATCCCGGCGGCCCAAAGGCGGGGGCTGGGCGGGGGCTGGAGGGGGCGTCCCAGAGCGCAGGCGCGGGCAGCAGGGGCGGGGAGAGGGCGGAGGCAGGGATTGGTGGGATAGAGTTGCCATCGAAAAGCGGAAGTCCCCACCCAGCCTGGCAGGAACTTCCGGCCCCGATTGCTTGGGTCTTCTGCGGCCTGAGTGGGGCGGCGGAGCCGGGATGGTGCTGCTGGAGAGTGAGCAGGTGAGTGGGGGCCGGGCGGGGAGGGTGCCCTCGGGCTTAGCTCGGGCCGCCGTCGCCTTGGGCGGGTGGGAGTGGGGCGTGACGCGGCGGGACCTGCGGCTGCCCGACGGGGCCTGGTGTGTTGTGTTGCAGTTCCTGACGGAGCTGACCAGGCTCTTCCAGAAGTGCCGGCTGTCGGGCAGCGTGTTCATCACCCTCAAGAAGTGTAAGCAGCCAGCCCCGCGGCCCGGCGGGGCCGGGAGGGGGCGGGGAGGCCGCGTGCCCAGCCCGGGTGCCCGGTGTCGGGGAACCGGAGTCAGCCCCCGACGCATTCCCGCCTTCCCTTCCTCCCCTCCTCCGCGTACTGGGCACCTTCAGGGCAGAGGGACCAACGACTATCAGGGGCTGTGGCGGGCGCGCCCGCAGCGCTTAGCAGCTGAAGCCGGTCCCGGTTACGGCGGGGCCCGCCGCCATGGCTCTTCTCCTTGTCGGGGTCCCCAACCCCACCGCGGAGAGTGGAGATAGCAAGTCGTTGTCCAGGTTTGGGCCAAACCTGAGCTGGTGGCGGATCCGGTGGCCAGCAGAGCTAGAGCAGTGCGGGTGGAGGAGGGGCCCGCTCTGTTCCTCCCCCGCCTGTTAGCTCTCTGCCGGCCTCTCAACCCTGTGGCTGTGGTCACCAGGTGCGTTTTCCTTGCAGACGATGGCCGAACTAAACCCATTCCGAGGAAGGGCTCAGTGGAGGGCTTCGAGCCCTCAGACAACAAGTGTCTGTTAAGAGCCACTGATGGGAAAAAGAAGATTAGCACAGTGGTGAGTCGGGTGCCTAACACTGCAGTTTTGGAGTTTAAAGACTTAAACTTAACTGAGCAGGTGGCATATCTGAACCAGGTTTTGTTTTTGTTTATTTTATTTTTAAAGGAAACATTTATTTTTCATTGATTTCAGAGAGGAAGGGAGAGGGAGAGAGAGAGAGAGAAACATCAATGATGAGAGAGACTCATTGATCGTCTGGTCCTGTACGCCCCCTTTTGGGGATCGGGACTGAAACCTGGGCATGTGCCCTTGACCGGAATCGAACCCAGGCCCCTTCAGTCCGCAGGCCGACGCTGTATCCACTGAGCCAAACCGGCTGGGGCTATTTTATCTTCTAAAGAATAGTCTATTGATTTTTACAGAGGAAGGGAGAAGAGAGAAACATTGAAGGGAGAACACAACATCGAAAGGCTGCCTCCAGCGCAACCCCTACTCGGGATGAGCCTGTGCACTAGACATTGCCCAACCGAGCTACACCGTCCAGGGCCTGTTTTTGTTTTAAATGAAGGGTATTGTATAGCTCCCCAGCTGTTTTGGGATCTGCATTTTTTTTTCCTCTTTTTAAAAATCCTCACCCGACGATGTTTTTATTGATTTGAGAGAGGGAGAGAGAAACATCGATCAGTTACCTCCCATTCGTGTCCCGACTGGGGATCAAACCTGCAGCCTAGGTATGTGCCCTGACTGGGAATCAAACCATAACCTTTTGGTGTATAGGATGACACTCCAACCAACTGAGCCACCTGGCCAGGGTGCGATCAGGGCATTCTTTTATTACCTTTGTAATAGAAAACTCAAGAGCAAAATTAAAATGAAGGTGGAGTCAAACACTTGTTCTGCTGAAAGTTTTGTAGAAATAAAATTAGCATATTGGTCCTTACTCATAGTAGCATTGTAAGGAGCAGTGAATATATGATTACTTATGCCCTTAGCTTACTGTGCTGGGCTTTCCATGACCAACTTCTCACCAGATGATGCTTTTAAGCTAATTATTCCTTTTCTTTGTGGTTCACATAGTAAGCATGTAGCTATATGTAGACTTGGTACTTTAGATAGAGTATAAATTTAGTCCAGAGCACTAGTGTTCCCTTTCAAGGTGGAGGCTGAATATGGCTAGAAAGGGAACAGTAGCGCTCTGGACTAAATTTATATTCTCAAGTACCAAGAGACTCCCTGGGTTCTGAATGAATACAGACACACCGCTTTTATTACGCATTGCTTTATTATGCTGCCAGTTGTTGCGTTTATTACAAATTAAGGCAAGGCCCTCCACCAGCAAAAAGGCTGTGACTTGCTTTGTTGTGATAATCGCTTTGCTGTGGTGGTCTGGAACCAAACTCGCAATGTTTGAGATATGCCTGTACTTTATTCTGCTGGGGCAGAACCAGACTGGCCTCCCTTTCCAGTCACATCAGTACAGGATATTCGTGAGCCTGAAGATCATAATTAGTTGTTGCCTCCCTTTACCAGTTATCTCGAGGACATTTACAGTAAAGCTATGGGGTTTTAAAAAATAAAGTTGGGTATCACGAAATAAGAAAACCCAAAGAATTTTTAGAGGTAGGATTTCTTGTGGTAGCTTGCATTTTGCTTAAATAGGCCTGAATTAAAGGAAGATAGGTTTAAAATAAGATGGGGAGTAGTTTAAATGTATCCTGCAAAAAAGAGTAGTACTTAGTCCTTTGACATCTCAGCACCCAGGGAGAAAAGTCGATGCCATCCGTGTAAGAGATTTCAATAGAGGTGAGGAGCACAGCTTCTTTAGGAACATAATTCTGCCTCTTTCCCATCTTGGCACAAGTCTCATGTGGAAAAAAGCACAAACTTTGCTGCTTCCCAGGCAGAGGAGAGTGAATTAGGAAAATAGCCTTTAGTGTATCATGTCCTCTGAGATTGAGAAGGAATATTTTAGCGATTAGGATGCTGTCTTCATGAGGCTTTTGAGTTCTTATCTAGGGTGAGGCAGGGGATTACTGTATGGATACCAGGGGTGACCATTTTCCCCTCCTCTTTTCCAGGTGAGCTCCAAAGAAGTGAATAAGTTTCAGATGGTGAGTTTCTGCTGTTATCTATGTCCCTTTCTCAGGGCAAGTCAGCATAACATTGAACACTGGGTGAGCATTGATATTTAGGTTCACCGCTCTCCTATGATATGTTACCAGTAGTTTATGATTAAGAGCTGCCAGGCTATGAATTTTACTTTCAACACTGATACTGTCTTCCTTTTAAGTTTTTATAAGCTAGATTTTGTCATCTTAGGCTTCAGATATGCTCTGCCAATAGTGAAGTTGAACAAGAAGTTGCCTATATTTATGTTTTTGCTTAAAAAAAAAAAGAAGTGCAACTCACAGTGGATGAGCATTGCAGAAGCTGCTAAAATGTGTTTTCCACTTACACCACTTTCCTTCAGGTACAAGTGTCACATGGTATTATTTGCTTTATCAGGTAGACTTTCTGATTTGGCCACACTAAAGCCATTAAGGGAACAGGGCAGCTGCCCCACCAATTTGTAACTCTTCCCGCTAAGGTCGTGCTCCGTGTCTTTTAGGCTTATTCAAACCTACTGAGAGCAAACATGGACGGGCTGAAGAAGAGGGACAAAAAGAGCAAGAGTAAGAAGAGCAAAGCAGCACAGTGAAGGGCTCCAGATTCCCTGCTTTCACCAACTAACCACCAAATTGCTATTTTTCCTTCGGTTTTTACTTTTGGCCACAAAACTAGGTTTCTGGTTCCCCTACATTAACTGTTTTCATGTGAGATTATGTTCGTTTTGGACGGAAGAAGAGCTGTGATGTTTACAGGGTAGTTATAGGAAGCCAGTTTATTTTAGATCTGGCTAATTGGTCTGTGTTGCCTACTTGTGTATTCCTGGATTTTAGTTATAGAATCTGTAGGCATCTGTGTGAAGAACAATGCATCATTAAACCTGTCTATTTATCAGCACTGACTATCTCTTATTTATTCTGTTTCTCTCCCCATATTAATAATTCCTGGCAGTAAGGACTGATTCTGGGATGATGTGATTATGAATAGCCTTTAGCCCTATTTTCTAGGTTATTGGTATTGAAACCTGAAAATTTTATTAAAAGTTGTGTTAGCGCCGAAACCGGTTTGGCTCAGTGGATAGAGCGTCGGCCTGCGGACTGAAAGGTCCCGGGTTCGGTTCCGGTCAAGGGCATGTACCTGGGTTGCGGGCATATCCCCAGTGGGAGATGTGCAGGAGGCAGCTGATCGATGTTTCTCTGTCATCGATGTTTCTAACTCTCTATCTCTCTCCCTTCCTCTCTGTAAAAAATCAATAAAATAAAAAAAAAAAAGTTGTGTTAGCTCATGGGTATTCTTCCCAACTGGCTATATAAATTTTTTTTTTTTTTTTTTAAGAATAGTTTATTGATTTTTCAGAGAGAGGAAGGGAAAGGGAGAGAACCATCGAAGAGAGTGCAACATGGATTGACTGCCTCCTGCATGGCCCCTACCAGGGATGGAGCTCACAACCTGGGCATATGCTCTTGACTGGGTATGAAACCCAAGATCCTTTGGTGCATAGGTGGATGCTAACCATTATGCAACCACAGCCAGGCTATATAATTTTATCATAGTTCCTTTAGCAAATTTGAATGAATTCTTATAGTCAAATTAGAGTTTGCTTAATCACCTTAGGATAAGCATATTACAAAATTAAGACTAAAGATTACAAGTTAATGATATTTGACTTCTTTATGCCCTTCAGTTTGGACATTTTCATGAGTTAGTCATTAGAGCTAAGGGAAGAACAAGGCTGTTTTCCTGTCTTCTAGCTCCACAAAACCTTTCATGTCAATAGATTTGCAATTAAAAAGGAAATATATGAAAGCATTTATTATATTGCAAAAGATAAATTTATATATATATATTACAAATGAAAAACTTATAAAGCTCCACTTTGCGTGACAGCTTCTTAGAATGTAAAGTTAATTTAAAATTACAATGAATGTACAACATTTTACAGTTCCTGTCTGAACAATGTAATGACTGTTCTCTAGGATTAAAATAAGATTCTGTAGTAGTCATCTCTGTAGCTATACAGGAATAGCACGGACACCCTGCAAAAGAAGGGAAAAAGTAGGATCAGTATAATGGATAGAGAACAGGCTTAGTAAAAATTTATTTTTAGAGCACCTAACTGTAGGAGTTTTGTTCAATTAAAAACAAGATGGAAGGCTAGGCACTAAAACATTGCACAAGTTTTACAAAAGCTGTGACTGGTAAGGGTCTGCAGTATAAGGTCCTACACAAGGAGACCACCATTCGCTTCACAGACTTTGTCATTGCCTTTTAAACGGAAGAGAATGTGAACTGCTGGCTTCTGACATGAGGACATAAAGCAAAGTAGTCACAGCTGTTTTTCTATTTAAACACTAGAGGCCTGTGCACAGATTTGTGCATGGGTGGGGTCCCTCAGCCTGGCCTGCATCCTCCTGAAATCTGGGACCCTCGGGGGATGTAGCAGTGTTGAAACAGCAGGTGGCTGGGGAGAAGCCCCAGCCGGGGTCGGGCGCAGCTCATCTAGGCCCTGCTGCACTTACTGCCACCATTACTGCTGCTGCTGCTGCTCGGTATTGCCTTGCCGCCGTGGAGCAGGAGAGGCTACCACTGCTGCTGCTGCTGCTCGCCAGCTCTGAGCCGGGTTTCTGGCTGAGCAGTGTTCCCGCTGTGGGAGTGCACTGACCACCAGGGAGCAGTTCCTGCGTTGAGCATCTGCAAGTGGTCAGTGTGCATCATAGCAACCCATCAACCAGTCATTCTGGTCATTTTGTCGTAAAGGTTGTTTAGGCTTTTATATATATAGATAGATAGTTCTAGGAGTTACCTGGGTGATTAAAATTTATAATTGGGATAGTTACTTCTGAGACTTCGGTTTTGTGGTTGACAAGATCATGACTGTGGTTCAGTCCTGAGTTGCAGTTCTAACAATAACAGCTTATCAGTCATCAAACCTCTAGACAATAAACTATGTCACTTAAAAACCCCTCCTCGAGTTTTAACCCATTTTGAAATCTGCGGTGCCTAAGTGATAACTTACTTTTTTCCTACTTTGATGTTATAAATTTCATCACAGACTACTTTCAGGTATCTTTGCTTTGGCAGGCGTGACAGCAGCTGCTTCACAGTTGTGTTAAATGCCTGTTCATCAGCATCCCACTAGAAAACATAAGTGAGACTTAACAACAGGTACTAGGGTTTATTAAGTGGCATTTTTCTGGGTCACTAATGAAAGTCCAATGCCATTCCCCCCTTTAGTTATACTGAAGAAATCATTATAGGGCAATACTGGAACTGCTGGGCAAACTGCTGGGGTTCCTCCTTGAAGCATCAGTTTTCTTTACAGCAGATCACCTTATTAGATCTGGTTAACAATACAGCAGCACCGTGTGTGCTGATCTGACTTTAGACCAGTTATTGCTGCCTACTGTCTATTTTTTGTAATATGGACATACCACCTCTGATGTGCATCCATCTGAATGGACCATAAGATAATACACTGCCAGTGTAGTGGTATATGCTTACTTAGAATACAACAACTGCCGAAACCGGTTTGGCTCAGTGGATAGAGCGTCGGCTTGCAGACTGAAAGGTCCCAGGTTCGATTCCGGTCAAGGGCATGTACCTGGGTTGCGGGGACATCCCCGGTAGGAGATGTGCAGGAGGCAGCTGATCGATGTTTCTCTCTCATCGATGTTTCTAACTCTCTCTCTCCCTTCCTCTCTGTAAAGAATCAATAAAATATATTAAAAAAAAAAAAAAGAATACAACAACAGGAAATACAGTAGGAAGCATTAGTTTTGGGGCAAAGTTCATTTTTCATCTGATTTAATCTGGATAGACAAAGTATTCTTTTTAAAAAAAAAATATATTGTATTGATTTTTTACAGAGAGGAAGGAAGAGGAATAGAGAGTTAGAAACATTAATCAGTTGCCTCCTGCACACTCCCTACTGGGTATGTGCCTGCAACCAAGGTACATACCCTTGGCTGGAATCGAACCTGGGACCCTTGAGTCCACAGGCGGACGCTCTATCTACTGAGCCAAACCGGTTAGGGCTAGACAAAGTATTCTTTGATATGATGTTGCAAAAATCACCTATACCTATGATTATAGTTAAGCATTCTTTTCTTTTTTTAAAATATATTTTTATTGATTTTTTACAGAGAGGAAGGGAGAGAGATAGAGAGTTAGAAACATTGATGAGAGAGAAACATCGATCAGCTGCCTCCTGCACATCTAGTACTGGGGATGTGCCCGCAACCCTGGTACATGCCCTTGACCGGAATCGAACCTGGGACCTTTCAGTCCGCAGGCCGACGCTCTATCCACTGAGCCAAACCGGTTTCGGCAGTTAAGCATTCTTAATAGCAAAGGTTTAACTATTCAAAATTTAACAAGTTATTTGGTTATTTGATAATTAGGGTACGTACTTGTGTGTGGGGGGGGAGACACATAAAAAAGTACCTAAATTAAATTTTTACAGAAAGATCTTCCATACACTTCTAGTTCTATAAATGAGCTTCCCTAGTTGGAATGAAGGTATGACATGTATACTAGCAGTGGTTAAGAACACTGACTCCACTACTTTACCTAGGTTCAAATACTGGCTCTACTACTTACTAGTTGGGTGACCTTGAGTAAGATATTTAACCTCTTTACTTCTGTTCCCTATAAAATGGTGATAACAATAGTACCTCTCTCTTGGGTTTGTTATGATTAAATGAGTTTAAGATTTGTAAAATGCTTAGGACAAGGCCTGCCAGAGCCTGATACTCAATAAAAGCACTAGTTATTTGTTAAATAATCTCTGAAATTTAAAAGAAAGTCACCAGAAAAGCCTGATTCTTTTAAAATCTGATTTAGTAATATATATGTCACATAAAGGAACAAGTTTCCAAATTCCTGGAACTGACAAAAAATACCTAACATCACTAAGAAAATACCATTTTCAGTGGTTTTGTTTTTGTTTTTGTTTTTGGCAAAGCTTTGGGATTTTAAAAACCACAATGCAGAAGAGTTTGTTTTGCTTACCTCTAATGATAAACACTGTAAGATTGTTTCTTTGGGTAGATCCACCTGTCAATACACAAAAATGTACATCATCTGTCAGAGAACCCCTGGCAGCACATACTGACGTGTGATGACGGTGCCACTGTGGACGGAGCAACATGAAGTGGCTGGCAGAGTCCGGGATGCTATTGTGCTATAGAGCAGACTTAATGCACCACGCACGGCAAGCCTCAGCCCTGGTGAAAGGATACTCCTAGTCCCACACACTGCACGCACTCCAGAGGTTTGACACTGCTACCCTCACTCAGTGTAGGCTTAGTGAGGCAAAGGCCTGAAACATTTAGAAAAATGATTTCCATTTTCACTTCAGAGGAAGGAAGTAGGAGAAACAAACACAAAACCTTCAATTGTTCTCCCCAGTTGTTTAGATTACACGAGATTCACATCAGTGATAACAGGCTTGTACGCCAATACTGCTGACACCGAGCAAAAAAGCCTGACCTTTGAGGAAACTACTTCGACAGTGTGGACAGACGCCATCCTCAAAAGGTTAAAGAAAGCAACTTACAGCCAAAATTTCAATTTCACTGCTTTTCTGATGTAAGTTGGCAAGGGAGGTCTGAAGTCGGGTTTGTACCTAAAAGAAAACATGTCAGAATTCAGAACCTGTCAAACCAAGCCATCTTTCTTGCCATTGTATGTCCTATTCCAGGAAACAATCACAGGTGACAAACCTAGGCCTAGAATTTGCACTTAATCCGCCTCAGAAAGATGTATGTGTATCCCATTATGATATCGGGAAATGAGACTTTGTAGCCTATCTATAATTTGTTTAATAAACCCATGAAAGTTGCTTATTTCTTTATAATTTTGAGATGACACCTAGTAAAAAGCTCAGTGTGGTGAAA